TCATCACGTCAAGGGCATCGTTGGGGTGGCCTGGGGTGGAAATGTACAGCTGTGTATCATCAGCGTACTGATGGAAATCCACCCCAAAGCCACGAATGATCTCCCCCAGCGGCTTTACATAAATATTGAACAAAAGGGGGGAGAGGACCGACCCCTGAGGTACCCCACAAGTTAGGGGTCTAGGAGTCGACCTCTGTCCTTATCTGTCCTTATCTCTGTCCTTATCTCCTACATCCCACTGGACGTGTCTCCACCAGCAGTCAAGTCATCGCACATGTGGCTTTCTATCAATCCTGCCTCTTTTCATTACAACATCTGAACAAAACGTTTCTCCTAGTGAGATTTCCACTGAGTAGAGAAGAGTTGCAATTCTCATCGTTCCACGGAGCGGACGCTGGCACCAAAGGCTATTTCCACTATGGGATAAGATACAGGTAGTCCTCAACGTATGACCACATTTGAGCCCAACATTTCTGTTGTTAAGCGAGACATTTGTTAAGTGAGTTGGCAGTTAACTCATATTCATAACTACAGTGGAACTAGAAAAAAAATCAGAGAAGAGCAACTAAGATGATCCAAAGCCTGGAGACTAAAACATACGAAGAACGGCTGCAGGACTTGGGTCTGGCTAGTCTAAAGAAAAGAAGAAACAGGGGAGACATGGTAGCAGGGTTCCAGTATCTGAGGGGCTGCCACAAGGCAGAGGGGGCCAGGTTGTTCTCCAAAGCACCAGAGGGAGGGATGAGAAACAATGGTTGGAAACTGACCAAAGAGAGAAGCAACCTGGAATTAAGGAGAAACTTCCTGACAGTGAGGACAATTAACCAGTGGAACAGCTTTGCCTTCAGAAATCGTGGGCGCTCCATCATTGGAGGTTTTTAAGTAGAGGCTAGACAGTCACGTGTCTGAGATGGTATAGGTTCTCCTGCTTAAGCAGGGGGCTGGACTAGAAGACCTCCAAGGTCCCTTCCAGCTCTATTACCAAGTCTATAACTGGAATTAACCATCACCTTTAATGAAATAGAGATGGTGATTTAACAGAGAGACGGCCGAGAGAAGGACATGAATATCCCAGGGTGATGTAAATATTGCCATTTGGAGACACCTACGGCTTTTCCAAGCAACAGAAAGAAGGCGATGGATTCGAGAAAGCAGCATTTGAAATTCTGCTTTGGGCTTGGAGAGTCTGCTTTGGGCTTGGAGCTCCTTTTGCATTTTCCCACTTTTTTTTTTCTCCTTCTAAGGAAGATGCTTCTCCGGGACACCCAGCACGGACCCCACCTCTAGCCTTTCCCTTCCTTTGTGCAGAGCTGTCCGTCAAGGGCCATCATCCTGCACCGTCTAAACACTCTCCGAACAGCTGCCACTGTCAATTATTCCCTCTGACAGCCCTGCCGAACAGGAAAAGAACTGGAGCGAGCACTTGCCACTTTTAATAAACTGTGCGGCTAAAATCATTTAACCTGCTAGATTGCAGTTGGTGGGGCTGTAAAAAAGCTGCAGAGCTTTGGGAAGGACAGAATAACAAGAGCTGGAAAGGGACCTTGGAGGTCTTCTAGTCCAGCCCCAGGGATAACAGGATAGCAGTCTTCCAATATCTCAGGGGTTGCCGTAAAGAAGAGGGGGGGTCAAGCTGTTCTCCAAAGCACCTGAAGGCAGGACAAGA